TGGCGTACATGAGACGCTTAGACCGGTTCCATGTGGCTAAAAGAATGTCCATTAACATTTATGGCTGTAATATATTTGAACCTTTGAATATCTGCAGATTTTTACAAAGAGATGGCTGTTCGGTTGTCAGTTCTCTAACTTTTCACCAGTAAGTTCTTTGTGTAATCTGTTGATTTGATGCCCTGAAATATGAAACATCCTATTTAATTATTGCGGGCATTTATTTTGGTTTTATGAATGACGCCGCGGCGCACTGGAAAAGGATCACGTGACCTGACCTAGATGCGGCGGGGGCATGGGGCGGAGGGTTGCGGTTCGCCCGGATGACACTTTCTTTCTATATCAGCGGTTCTCAAACCGTGGGTAACGACCCATTTTGGGGTCAAAAGACCCTTTCCCTAGGGTCGCCAAAGACCATCGTAAAACACATATACTCTACAGTTATGAGGTAGGAAAGAAAATAATTTTGTGGTTGGGTGTCGCCACAACATGAGGAGTTTTACTAAAGGATTGCGGCATTAGGAAGGTTGAGAACCACTGTTCTGTGTCCAGAGAGGTGGCACAATCGGCCGACGCCTAGTTAATTGTTTTTTTCTTTAAAGAGAGGAGGAGGTAGGGGGGGGAAATCACGACCCACCACGGATGGCAATAACCTCTTGCTACACTCCAGGCACTGTGTAATTTAGTGGACATTTAGAGTAGACATTGTCATGACGGACATTGTCATAGGAAACTTTGTCGTGGGAGACATTGTCATGGGAGACATTTGTCACGGGATAAATGTTCATGGGAGTTGTCATTGGGCTTGTCATGAGAGACATTTCCATGGGAGTTGTCGTGAGAGACACTTTCATGGGGTAACACGTTCACATTTTCATTGGAGTTGTCGTGGGAGACACTATCATGGGGTAACACGTTCACATTTCCATGGGAGTTGTCGTGGGAGACACTATCATGGGGTAACACGTTCACATTTCCATGGGAGTTGTCGTGGGAGACACTATCATGGGGTAACACGTTCACATTTCCATGGGAGTTGTCGTGGGAGACACTATCATGGGGTAACACGTTCACATTTCCATGGGAGTTGTCGTGGGAGACACTATCATGGGGTAACACGTTCACATTTCCATGGGAGTTGTCGTGGGAGACACTATCATGGGGTAACACGTTCACATTTCCATGGGAGTTGTCGTGGGAGACACTATCATGGGGTAACACGTTCACATTTCCATGGGAGTTGTCGTGGGAGACACTATCATGGGGTAACACGTTCACATTTCCATGGGAGTTGTCGTGGGAGACACTATCATGGGGTAACACGTTCACATTTCCATGGGAGTTGTCGTGGGAGACACTATCATGGGGTAACACGTTCACATTTCCATGGGAGTTGTCGTGGGAGACACTATCATGGGGTAACACGTTCACATTTCCATGGGAGTTGTCGTGGGAGACACTATCATGGGGTAACACGTTCACATTTCCATGGGAGTTGTCGTGGGAGACACTATCATGGGGTAACACGTTCACATTTCCATGGGAGTTGTCGTGGGAGACACTATCATGGGGTAACACGTTCACATTTCCATGGGAGTTGTCGTGGGAGACACTATCATGGGGTAACACGTTCACATTTCCATGGGAGTTGTCGTGGGAGACACTATCATGGGGTAACACGTTCACATTTCCATGGGAGTTGTCGTGGGAGACACTATCATGGGGTAACACGTTCACATTCCCATTGCGTTTTACGTTTTTTTTTAGTTGTTTTTTTGCAATTAATGACGTCACGTTTCAGTTACTTCATGGACGGCAACCTGGCCCAGCCCTTGGACTTCTTGGACGTGCCCCTCATGGACACTCTCGTCGAATCGCTGGACGAGGCGCGCATGCTCAAACGCCGCTACCGCTGCAGGCTGCCTGTCCGCATAACAGAGACGGCAACTTGCTGGGGAGGAGGGTCCGGAAACGTGTCACGACGCTACGCCGCTGGGTTCATGTACGTCAGAGCTGAACAAAAAGTTGAACTCTTTTTTTGAACGGGTTACGGTTTGCTTGTTGAACGGCTGGAATGTCAGTTCACGTCTACGTCTTTCAAAGAAAAATTCACGTTCCGCTGTGCTGCTCGCTTCAATGAAAAATACAATTGAAACTACAATGTCGTATATGAGACGCTTAGACCGGTTGAATGTCATATATGAGACGCTTAGACCGGTTGAATGTCGTTTATGAGACGCTTAGATCGGTTGAAAGTCGTTTATGAGATGCTTAGATCGGTTGAAACTCGTATATGAGACGCTTAGACCGGTTGAATGTCGTATATTAGACGCTTAGACCGGTTGAATGTCGTATATGAGACGCTTAGACCGGTTGAATGTCGTATATGAGACGCTTAGACCGGTTGAATGTCGTATATGAGGTGCTTAGACCGGTTGAATGTCGTATATGAGACGCTTAGACCGGTTGAATGTCGTATATGAAACGCTTAGACCGGTTGCATGTCGTATATGAGACGCTCAGACCGTTTGAATGTCGTATATGAGACGCTTAGACCGGTTGAATGTCATATATGAGACCTTTAGACCGGTTGAATGTCATATATGAGACGCTTGGACCTGTGGCATGTCGCATATGAAACGCTTAGACCGGTTGAATGTCGCATAAGAGACGCTTAGACTGGTTGAATGCCGCATATGAGACGCTTATACCGGTTGCATGTCGCATATGAGACGCTTAGACTGGTTGCATCTGGTTAAAAGAATGTCCATTAACATGTATGGCTGATTGCAGTACAACGTTTAGACCGGCGTATTTTCAATTGATGCACCCAGGTGGTTGGACAAGCTTGGCCAGGCTGCACAATACAAGATTGAACTGCTGAACCGGCAAACATTTTTTGGAGGTTACTATGGTCTTGTCTCTCAGGACCCACCTGGTCCCACGCCTGTAAGTATGGACAGTACTCGTCCCACACCTCTAAGTATGGATAGTACTCGTTCCATAATTTGTGTTAATGACGCGGTCCAATGGACCCAATAAAGCCGTGCCCTTTGATGCACATGGCCGCCGCGAGTAACTTAATAATTTGAAGGGGAAAAAATAATGTTTACTCCCCACTCCGGAGACCTGGACACTGTCGGACTAAATTTCCCTTTCACATAAATTGCTGCTGATGACGTTACAAGATATGCCATGTTTCCGAGCGAAGTATTAATAGCCGTCTCTATGAAACTTTTCATGAAAGGACAGATAATATATGTTAGTGGTTGTGATGTTTTCCCATAAAGACGACGTATGTTTTATGTTCCCATACAGACGACGTAATGTCCCACTGAGGACACACTAGTCATGAAGAAGACGTATCTTTAGTGTTACCATTGAGGACACGCTAGTTATATATTCCTATAAATAAGACGTATGTCTTGTGTTCTCAAAGGAGACGGGGCGATTGGGTTGGATCAGTGGTTCTCAACCTTCCTGATGCCACGAAAATTTTAATCCAGGTCCCCATGGTGTGGCGACCCGCAACCACCAAAGTTATTTTCGTTGCTACCACATACCTTTAGCGTATATGTGTTTTATGATGGTCTTAGGCCACCCCTGTGAAAGGGTCGTTCGACCCCCAAAAGGGGGTCGCGACCCACTTGTTGAGAACTGCTGGGTTAGTTGCTAATGACGAACTGCAGAATGACTTAGCATTAAACTTTAGACGTAAAATGATTGTGAGAATGGAAATAAAGTTTTTCCCCATTTTTAAATACTTTGTTTACCTCCCAAAAATGCAATCAGGACTTATTCAGCAAAATGACTTAGTTCAAAAAATTATATTTTTTTTAAAAAACACCCAAGTGAGCTAGGCTAGTGTGTTCGGCAGATACTTTGCTAGAACTGCCACTGTGACACTTCATCGTCCATGTTTCCCCCCAGGGCTATTTTCTGTCGGTGCTGTTCAAACGACTTATAGAAGGTCCGGTGTTTAATGTCGCCACAGACCGGGCGGATCTCCGGGTCTACGCCCACTGTGCCCGCAACTTACTGTAAGTTATGTGAGCATCGAATCGAAAGAAACAACAACAATTGAGTAGAATAAAGTTCCAATCACTTGTGTCTGTTAATAAAGAACGAATTCACGTGAATAAAGTTAATTCGTGGGGATTACAAATAATAAAATGAAAAATTTTATAGTGGTTTGACAAGGCAAGCACGGGTACTTGAAAGTTTTAGTCTCGCCGCACTCTGAACAAACATTAGACCTATCAGTCAGTTCGATTCTTTTAGGTGTGTGAGTGGGTTTTTGGGGGGCTTTTTTTTTTTGTTTACTGGTGCAAATTGACACTTTTGAAACAGAGAACATTACATTCCTTAAAACATGGAGCTCGTGAGGAGGGCACCGTGCTCTTCTTGAATGAAAGCCAGAGGATCATGACCTGGTGCCACTCCTGGTTTGCCCACCACGCTGCGGGGAAAGAGGAAAATGACAAGGCAAGCACGGGTACTTGAAAGTTTTAGTCTCGCCGCACTCTGAACAAACATTAGACCTATCAGTCAGTTCGATTCTTTTAGGTGTGTGAGTGGGTTTTTGGGGGGCTTTTTTTTTTGTTTACTGGTGCAAATTGACACTTTTGAAACAGAGAACATTACATTCCTTAAAACATGGAGCTCGTGAGGAGCGCACCGTGCTCTTCTTGAATGAAAGCCAGAGGATCATGACCTGGTGCCACTCATGGTTTGCCCACGAGACTGCGGGGAAAGAGGAAATACGCAAGCCGGTGGACTCACTACTGGTCGCCGTGGAAGCTTCCAGGGGATTGGACCGTACTTGCCCCCCCCTCCCCCAGAACATGGAATAATTGGCTAAAATTGACGTTAACGTCCCGGGAGTCCGGTTACAGCCACGTTTCCGGTGATTTTGGAGCGGTTTAATAACAGTGCAGTCGTGTGTACACAAAATACTGTTGAATTTTTTTTAAACGTCATTAATCAAACTTCATTTCAGCTACGAGGCTGGTGCTGTGGTCATCTATTTTTTGAATGTTAGAAACGAACGAAGAATCTTGTCACTGACGCAGTTTGAAAACGACAAAAAGGACATTTATCTATTTACCCCTGGAGATGATGACGGTCTGGTCTCCAAGTAAGAAGTTTCAATGAAAATATCAACCCCCCCCCCCCTTTTTTTCCCTCTCTTTTTAAGAACAATAAAATGTTCTCTTCCATCTGGTGCCGAGACCAGGATCTCTAACTTACCTGGTATTATACAGGTGTCGCGTCGCCATTGAATGGCGAGCTTTGTCCCAGTGTTCTGACAGTTGACCTGGCATTGCCCAGGTTTACGTCGCCATTTAATGGCGAGCTGTGTGTCAGTGTTCTGACAGTTGACCTGGCATTGCCCAGGTTTACGTCGCCATTGAATGACGAGCTGTGTGTCAGTGTTCTGACACGGTGGGGGTTAACCTCAAATATCTTCCGCAAATGTGTTGATGTTTGGCTATTTATAGCTCTTTTTGTACCGTATATACTAACACATAGAGAATACATCGCACTAGAGCAGGGGTCGGGAGCCTATGGCTCGCGAGCCAGATATGGCTCTATTGATGGCTGCATCTGGCTCGCAGACAAATGTTCGATTGTTTAAAAAAAGTGGTAAGAAATACTCATTATTGATTAGCAACAGCATAACAATGTTATTAAAAAGAATGCATAGACATAATTATTGCATTTTTAGTGTTGAAATTACACAAAATGCACACATTTACTTGAATTTTTAGTTTTAAACATAATGTATGGCTCGCACAGAATTACTTTTCAAAATATGTGGTGTCCATGGCTCTCTCAGACAAAAAGGTTCCCGACCCCTGCACTAAAGGTTAGGTCAAACTAGAGGTTAGGTCACACTAGAGCTTATGTCACAGTAGACATGAGGTCACACTAGAGGTTTGGTTGCGCTAGAGGTTAGGTGGCATTAGAGGTCAGGTCACACCAGAGGTTAGGTCGCAGTAGGGATTAGGTCCCACTGGAGGTTTTGCTGCGCTAAAGAGTAGGTCGCACTATTGGTTAGGTCACACTAGAGTTTAGGTCAAACTAGAGGTTAGATCATAATAGAGGTTAGGTCGTAATAGAAGTTACGTTGCGCTAGAGGTTAGGTGACAATGGAGGTTAGGTCGCAAGGACTCACCAGAGGTTAGCTCTCATCCTTAGGGGAGTTAATTGCCCTTTTTAAATGTAAATATATAATCAACATTTGTCGGAAAGACGTCACAAAAGAATTTTCTATATTAACTTTCAAAACTGAAGAGCAATTGTCATTCACTGTGTCATCATTAATAGCTTTTGTTATTTTCAAAACGTATTGTCTCTGCTCGAGCGAAAACGATTTTTCAAATTTTAAACTCTAGCCATAGGCAAATTTAACTAAATAATTAAGAGGAAACTTGACTCTTGACGAGCGCCCCCCCCCCCCCCCAACACTTAACACTTCCTTTCTTCCCTCTCTTGAACATGTTTATTCTACGATCTTGTCTTAAAAACATCGGCTCAGGTTCGTCAAGCTGAATGACGTAGTACTGCTGATGAATGACACCAACCTGCCGCCGATGCCGCCGATGAGAGTCAGTGGGGATGTCGCCGTGGAGGCGCGGACTTACGGATTCATCGTCGTCCCCGAGGCGAACCAGACTTTGTGTGTGGACTACTTCAAGTCACGCTATCCCCCTACCAGCGGCACTGGGACTGCGGCGAGCGAAAACCCGACCATGCACTCTGACGCGCACTCGGGCGCAACCTCCGGCATGGACCCGATTACAAACCTAATCACAGACCCAATCACAAACCTGATCACGGACGCGATCACAGACCCGGGCACAGACATGGTCACGCACCCTGACGTGAACTCAAACGCAACCGGTGGCACAAGCCCCATCACAAAACGAACCACACACTCAATCACACACCGAATCACAGACCCAATCACACACCCAATCACAAACCCAGTCACTGACCCGGACACACACCCGGGCACGGACTCGATCACAGACCCAATCACAAAATCAAAGACCACGTCCAACACTGCCGTGCACCGGACGGATAAAAACTGCTCTCCTTCCAAGAGATTTAGTTCACTGTGGTTGTTGGTGTCTTACAGACTTTCACTTATCTTTTAGAGATATGTGTCATGTTTTGTTGAGTTAAAAAATGAATAGTAAAAATATTTTTTTTAAAAAAAGAAAGAAAAACGGACACAAAACCTGGCTCAGTGATTTCGAGTGTTTCCTTTAATCTTTGTGTTCTTCTGTTCCATTCATTCACAGTGTTAACAACGTTACGGTTCGACGTGAAAATAAAAATAAAAATACAATATTTTTAAAAATGTGTTTCCAATGTGGAGAGCCGCACTTGGGGCCAGGCCCTGGTAATGCAGACGCGCACAGAGCTAGGCCCCGTCGGCACATACTTCTGGAGGTGAGATCACAGCAGGGACGCTACCTGCCGGCGTTGCAGCCTGGTCCCGGAAACACTAGCGCGCCTGCCGACGGAATGCCCCTACCGAGATGTTCCAGGGGAAGCCAGGGCGGTGGGAGAGACCCTACGTGAAGAAAATCTACTAAGGCACAGCTCAGCAGACGGTGCTGGTAGCCAATGTACTAGCCGGGCTGCATAAGAGCGTAATATTAGACCCTCACCAGAATATGTAAGTTAGTTAGTACGTACCATCTGGACGGTCAACGACCATGACCTTCGTTCGTTTGTGACGTTCTTTTTTTAAAGGTTTTCCTACACTTTGTTTCGCTAAATTCCTGTTTTTGCTAACCTGATTGCTGTCTTTCGCCCTATGGACAACAATTCCTGGTTTTTGCTAACCTGATTGCAGTCTCCCGCCCTTATGACAACAATTCCTGTTTTCTCTCACCTGATTGTTGTCTCTCGCCCTTATGACAACAATTCCTTTTTTGGCTAACTTGATTGCGGTCTTCCGCCCTTATGACAACAATTCCTTTTTTGGCTAACTTGATTGCGGTCTTCCGCCCTTATGACAACAATTCCTTTTTTGGCTAACTTGATTGCGGTCTTCCGCCCTTATGACAACAATTCCTGTTTTTGCTAACCTGATTGCAGTCTCCCGCCCTTATGACAACAATTCCTGTTTTTGATAACCTGATTGCAGTCTCTCGCCCTTATGACAACAATTCCTGTTTTTGCTAACCTGATTGCAGTCTCCCGCCCTTATGACGACAATTACTGCTTTTGTTTTGCTAAACTGATTGCAGTCTCTCGCCCTTATGACAACAATTCCTGTTTTTGTTAACCTGATTGCAGTCTCTCCCCCTAATGACCAATTATCATCATTAAAAATCTGCAGCATAAGGTGTCCTCTATTTAATGTAAACAGAAAATGTCTTTGTATTTTTGTAGTTTAAAACTATGAATTACATTGGAAACTAGTCAAGGTTATGATCCATTCGTATTATGAAAGTAGAAAAAATAAATAAAGGAATAAATATTAATTTTAAGAATCGGTATATCTTATAATTATTTATGGTGTAGCAGGTTTTGTTGATCAGGAAGAAGCAAATCGATCAAGGTGACATATTTCAGGCGCTGACCTGTAACAAACATATAATATTTATTCTTTGTCAAACATATAAAGGAAATTTTAATAGTTACATACCGATCCGTTCATAAAGATTTTTTTGGGGTCGTTTGCAAATAACAACACGCTCGGGGGTGGGGGGGTCGAGAAATTGTGACACTTTGTGACAGGGGGAGGGAAAGTCCAAAAAGTTGTGACGTCACAAATTTTTAATAATTTTTTTTTTAATCTAAAATTTTCTAATTTTGAAAAATCTTTATTCAATTAAATTTAAAAACATTAATTTGAGGTCAAAATGGCCCCCAGGTAGTATACGTACCGTTTAACTTAGACGCGCGCACCCTCTGTCATGGCCATTTGACATGAAAATGTATTTATGTTTTGAAGAAAAAAAAATTAGGTGTGACGTGACACTAAAAAAAAGGGGGGGGGGGGGAGAGGGGTTAAAGAATTTGTGACACATTGGGACAGGGGGGGGGGGGGTTCTGAAAAGGTCATTTTTTTGCGTGAGGAATTTACGCTTGTCTATTAATTAAACAACTCATGAAAACAAGAGTTTTTGGTATAAATTCTTCATAAAATCCAATACCGGTATCGAGCGTGTGAAGGGGGCGGGGGTGGCAGAATTCGACAAAGCATGCTGATAATGATAAGTAACGCACTTTATAAGAATCCCAATTACTGCTCCCCCTCCCCACACCTCTCCTCAAAGGCCCGCAACCGCACATTTTTTTTCGAATGACCCACCCATTTTTGCACCGCAGATTTATTTTCAATTTTATTTTTAGAAAAACAAAAGAAAATATTTACCCATCCAAAGCACTTGGGATATTTGACAAAACTCATCTCAAGCAGTTATCGGGAATTGGATTCGATCTTGAATGACTGGAAAAGCTTTTTTTTTTTTTTAATTATTTGTGAGGGGGGGGGCTGGGGGGAGGCTTGGGTTAGTTGGTGGGGATGACAATTTGCAAGTATGCGTTGTCATCGACAGGTTGAAGGGATGTTGGTCAAGTAGCAGTCCAAAGATTTGGCCAGCCAGCCAGACGGCCACGAACAAAAAGCGATGATGTTAACTTGAAAAGTGGACTTATGTTTTCATGTTTATGGGTAGAGCATTTTTTTTAAAAACGACAAACACACATACACACACACACACACACATACACACACACACACACAATGGTTGTGTGCTAGATTAAGACAAACTTTTGATGAAACACTAGATTTAAGTCACTTGTCAAAGTAAATATTGGCCTTGATTTGAATTTTTTTTTTAGTTATCGGTCATTATCTCTGATAGATATTTTGTGTGTAGTGTGACTGCTTCCATTTCCGGATTTCACGCAAAATTTAATTCCCGATAACTACGCTAATGATTTTTTTTTCTAACAACGCAACGCAACGTAATATTTTCTTTCCGAAAAATGAAATCAACTCAAATTAATATGGTGTAATAAATAATCGGTATAAAAGTTGTTGGGACATCAGAATATTAATAAAGTTCATGGACATGAAATAAAAAGTGTGCAGTGACGTATCGTGGAAGGAAGGGGTGTAGCTAAAATTGGGACACTTAAATGTGCGTTACTTGAATTCAAGTCTTGTCAAGTAACTTTAGTATATGGCAATTTCACGCATTGCTGTCACCAATGTTTTGTGAGCAATAACTAATTTATATATATTTGGATTTTTTTCCCCAACTAATTTTATTGAGCCATTGTTTTTGATAAAGCTAGTTCATTATCTAGCCAAAAATACTCACTACTGTAAAGCAATTACGATTTTAATCCATTTGGCACCCTGGTCCAATAGTAAAAATTCAAAAGGTAAAACATCTTTTGTAAAGTCTATCCAATTTTAATATTACATATTTTGTTTTTTTTTAAAATGTGAATATTTATCTGAATAAATTGTATAGAGCCCCTATTCTAGGGATGTCTGACATTGCCCTTGCCATGCATCTATTTTTATTTTAATTAATAAAAGGGTAAAGTATGGGCATTGTGGAATACCTTTTAATCTTAAGACATCTTCAAAAAGTCATATTATTATTTATATCATGATTTTTGGCTGGACCCATATTATATATCAATATTAACAAGATTGTGTGTATATTATTATTTTTATTATAAGTGGTTTTATACAGCGTGGTACCCCAGCCTAGGGCTGGGCTCACCACGCTGCACATACAATTTAACTAACATAATCAAAAATTTTAAAACCTTAATTAACATACATTAATGGAACAAAGCAAATGTATATTTAAAACTATTTACAAGTCAAGCCGTGGACGACACCCAGCAGCATCGTTTATCGGTCAGAGGTGGGAATCAGTGACGTGGGAATCAGTCCGGATGGTAGAGTTTAAAGAGATGTGTTTTGAGTGCAGTTTTTGGAGGCTGTGATGGTCGGTATATTGGGGATGTGTAATGGAAGAGAATTCCATTGTTTGGGGGCATAGAAAGAGAACCATCGTTCACCATATGTTTTTGTGCGCGTCTTGGGGAATACTGTAATGTGTATTTTTTCATCATCTCAAAATTTGACAATGAAATAACAGCGAAATGAAAAGACCGGGAAATGAAACAGGGAGGGGGGGGGAGAGAAACAACAGGTGAAAGAAACAACAGCAACATTAATAATAACAACAGGGAAATGAAGAAACGGCGAAATAAAACAACAGGGAAATGAAGAAACAGGGAACATCAGTTACTTTCTCTTATTAAAAATACCCTTTTGTTCTTGAAAGTTAACTGGCTCGTCCCCTATTGCAAAATAAACTTGATTTGAAAAATTCGAAATTTGTTCTATGTTTCATTCTATACGCGAACTCTTTACGTCTTTAAGTTCTAAAAGGACAGATTCTCAAAGACAAAAGAAAAAAGGCGGGGGGGGGGGGGGGTTAATAACGCCATAGACTACATTTTAACAGTTGATATTTTTTTTTTTTTTACAATACAGAAAAAAAAAGATTGTTTATTTTTTATATATATTGTGTCAAAAAAAAAAAAAAAAAGGGGGGGGGGGGGGGGGGGGTTAATAACGCCATAGACTACATTTTAACAGTTGATAATTTGTTTTTATTTACAATACAGAAAAAAAAAGATTGTTTATTCTTCATATGAATTGCGTCACTGATAAGTAAACTCGGTTTCATATGGCATATGGCATTTACTCATGGTAAATTGAACATCCATGAACAAAAATTCATCTCAAGCATTTGAAAATTCCTGTCTTATAACTTTTACAACTCCATCTTAATACGTCACCATCAGACAAGGGGGATGATCAATGGGGAATTTGAGAAACAAATTTTATGTAACAAGGATAGTGAGTTCAACGTCAAGGGACATTTGGATTTCATAGATTGTCTTAACTTATTCACCAGCTGTATTTTGTTTTAATTTTTATCGTAGTTTCTTTGTTGATGATTTTTTCTTCTTCATTTTCTGTGCAATTTCTCTTTGTCGAGTTGAGGTGATGGGATGGATTTATCGTAATGAGCATCAAAAGTCAAAATCGTTATAAGAAACCTCACACAAAAATGTGCCTTGACTTGATGCAGTGCAAATATTGTCATTCATTTTCCAAGCCATGGACTTCTCAAGCGTCAAACAGTTTTCATTCGTCAAGTAGTTCGGCTCTCCTCTTGACCAATCCGTAAACATGACGGGTTCTTTACTTCTGCGGTACACCAGATCCTTGCGTATGCGGCCAGCGACCTGCGTAGACTTGTACTCCTCCCCCGTGTAGACCGTTTGAAACCCGGGCAAGTCTTTGATAAAACTGACAACGAAATTGTATTCACTCTTGTCATTCATCTCCACGAGGTATCCTCCGAACTTCTTGCACCTGATTTCCGACTCATCTATCGTACTCCCCCTTATGTTTCTGGGAAGGAAATAGAACGTCTCGTTGTATGTCAATGACACGAAGTAGAACTCTTCGAGGATCGCAGACTTCATTCGACTCAACTCGGCTCTCATTTCAGCGACTGTTAAAAACTGTGGGGAGATCACATTCGGGTTCGGATTCGTTTTATTTGTATTGTTTGACTCGTCCCCGATCGTCGGCGTGCTGTTTTTATTCTTCGACATTTCATCGACCGTCGCTTGCAGCTTCTCTAATAGGGCTAACTGCGACATGACGTCATTGCTTGTGTTTTGATACTGTTGCACTTTAGCCTCGAGTGCAGCGATGTGATCGTTAGCGTTTTCATTTTGCTCTTCCAATGTGGCGAATTTACTTTGAAATTTAGAATCGTCCTCGTCTCTCAGTCTTTCGAGATCCCACACGACCGACACTAACCGGTTGCTGATATTTTGATACGCCTCAAGTTCTGACTCAAGAGCCCCGATTTTGAAATCCTGACTGAGCTGCCATGCTGACAAATCTGTGATGTGATCGCTGAAGTTTCTGTACTGCTCCAACTGCCTTCTATTGATCGCCAGAATTTCCCCCTTGGCTTCCTCGACGGCCAACTCGAGATTCTCTAGTTTCCGCTTTGACTGTTCATTTTCGCTTGCGCTGGTGAAGATGACCTTCACGTTGTTCGACATCACCATGGGCTGGCCATTTTTTCTGATGCCGTGGGCGGTGCATTTGTACGTGTCTGGGGTAGCGATGTTTGGATTCTCTATCACAAAACTGAGATAAGAATTTTCCCTCGGCTTGATGAAGCCCGACGTTTGTACGACCCATTCATGCATCGCTGCGACTTCTTGGCTAGAGAACACTGTGACGGACGCGATGTCTTCCAGGACGTGGGTGTCTAACGCTATAACTGAGCTGGTCGAGTTGTCCGCCTCAGTCACGAGGTCCCGTAAGCCGGACACAACTAAGGATACCAAAGTGTCCATTCCTTGACCTGTTTCCGGCGCGTAGCTGCAGTTAACGTGTAACAAACTGGTTCGGCCAACGATGACACTTCTTGGAGAAACCTCGAGCTGAAGCGACCCATCTAATAAGATGCACACAAAAAAAAAATTATTAAAAATCAAGTCTCTTGTAAACTATAACTTATTTTTGTTATAGTTGTTGTTGTTGTTTTAATAACATTCACTCAAGTTTGAGACTCTCATGATGTATTATCAGTATATCTTTTTAAAAAAAAAACAAACTTATTAACATAGCTGCTGTTATGATCTTGTACTCACCTACGTCACGCCCAACAGCAAGTGAGAAAACAAATAACGTCATCAGACTAAAACGTGTCATTCCGGCCATCGTAAACTCTAGTCGGGATCTACTCTCTCGCTACGTCTCTGAAGCTTTGGCTTTTATACCTGACGGACGGGGCGTATCCGATAATGTTGGCTTCAGTTTCTGGCTGTCTTTGTGTCAACACTTTTGTGTTGTTGTTTTTTTAAAAAGGGTTGGGGGGGGGGGGAATTGTTCAAGGTTCAAGATTTCTACACAAGTTTGCTCCGTTGCTCCTGTTCAAATGATTTTTTTCTTTTTTAAATTTATAAATATAAATTTTTTGTAACTTTCTATAATCCCAGATTTTGTTTTCAAGAAACTTTAAAGTACTAGTAGTATAATATATGAATACTTAATATTATAGAAAATTAACAATCCAGAAGTACAAAAAAAAAAGGTTACAATTCCTATTTAAGTAGCTAAATACATTTTCGTTAAATGCAATAAATTCACATTTCTTATTTAGGTTTTCGTCTCAAAAGGAGATTGAGGTACAAAAAACAACAACACATTTCTGATTCATTCCCAGTGTCAGCATAATTTACATATTATTAATACAAAGAAAACTATGATTCAAAAGCATTTTCAAAAAGACTTGTATTTCAATGGAATTTTCACTACAGTAAGTATTGTCCGAAATGGCACGGCCAAGATTGGTTGTTTTTTCGTTTTTGTTTTTGTTTTTTTTTTGTTTTTTGTTTTTGTGCTCAATTTGGAGTAGTTGACATCGGGCTGAAGAGTCCTGTCACAAAATTGCACGGATAATATGTATTGTCATTGTGGATAATACGTATTATCATTGTGGATAATAAGTATTGTCATTTAAAACTAAGGACTTTCATCATTGTCCAAATATTGTCTGACAGCTTCTCAAGTCCAAAAAAAAAAATGTTGTAAGCTTATCAAAGTAAGTTACAGAATTGTGCACGTGTGTTGCTCATGTTCAAATAAGTCAACTTTTTGACACAATAAACGTTCGCTGTGTGTGTCGCTTCAGTTCATTTAAAATTAAGCAACCCCCTAAAAACAAGATTTTTCGTATACATTCTTTACAAAAAATTAATATTGAGCAATTTGGGGGGGGGGGGG